CTGCGTTTACATAATTGCCCTGTTTTCTACTGAAAGTGAAATTATCTGGTGTTTAGCGCGTTGGATATTCTCGTCAGGACTCCCCCGTAGCGGCTAAACCCCGTTATGAATCCGTTATCGGAGGAAAATGGGTCACCTTTATATAGCGACCGATGTTCCTCTGTTTTTTACGGCGCTCTGCTGGTGTAATTTTCGCCTTCAGCGTTTAGCCGCTCGCCCCTCCAGCCTGATTAACAGCGGAGAGCCGGCGCGTCCGCATCGTTAGCGCGGTCCCTCACCTCGGCGCGTGATTTATGGATCCTGACAGGGCCTAATTGTAACGGAGAGATGCATCGTGGGTAATAGAGCGGGCAGGTAATGAAGGAAAGCTGCCTCGGGTCCTGAGCTAATCTATGGTTTAATCAAACAGTGAGAGGTTTGGGGCAACACCGGCCGAAAATGTGACGCAAAAGAGACTTTATGATTTATCGGCGGCGTCGGGGGGGGGGGAACCACCACCAACACGCCCGTCTCCGTGGTGACGTTAAAGGCGCATTGCGTAACTTTTGTGAGTGCGTCAAATGCTTTTTTTCCCCCATTTTTGTACAGTTGTAGGGAGTATTATCTGTTACATAAGGTGGTGTTGTACAGTTGTAGGGATTATTATATTACCTGTTACATAAGGTGTTGTTGTACAGTTGTAGGGAGTATTATCTGTTACATAAGGTGTTGTTGTACAGTTGTAGGGAGTATTATCTGTTACATAAGGGTGAGTTGATGTACAGTTGTAGGGAGTATTATCTGTTGCGTAAGGTGCATTGTACATTTGTAGGGAGTATTATCTGTTACGTAAGACTGATTTGTTGTATGGTTGTAGGGAGTATTATATGTTACATAAGGGTTAGTTGTACAGTTGTAGGGAGTATTTTATTACCTGTTACATAAAGGCAAGTTGTTGTACAGTTGTAGGGAGTATTATCTGTTACATAAAGTTGTTGTACAGTTGTAGGGAGTATTATCTGTTACATAAGGGTGAGTTGTAGAGTTGAGTCACTTTTTTTTTTTTTTTTTTTTTTTTAATTAACCGGCATTGAAAAACCTGCTGGACGCTTCTGGTTGGAGCCTTTTTATTTGATGTACGATGTCAGACACTAATTCTACAAGGACTCAGGACTAAGCCAGGACTAAACCAGAACCAGGACTCAATGTGGTTGGAGATCCTCCCGTGTGGACTGCGGGCAAAAGGACCGGTGCAGAACTCCGCGCACCACGGATGTAGACCTGGTGTAGACCTGGTGTAGATCTGGTGTAGACCTGGTGTAGACCTGGTGTAGACCTGGTGTAGTCCTGGCTTAGACCTGGTTTAGTCCTGGTGTAGACCTGGTGTAGTCCTGATGTAGACCTGGTTTAGTCCTGATGTAGACCTGGTTTAGTCCTGGTTTAGACCTGGTGTAGTCCTGGTGTAGTCCTGGTGTAGACCTGGTGTAGTCCTGATGTAGACCTGGTGTAGTCCTGGTGTAGACCTGCTGTAGTCCTGGTGTAGACCTGGTGTAGACCTGCTGTAGTCCTGGTGTAGACCTGGTGTAGACCTGGTGTAGTGCTGGTTTAGACCTGGTGTAGTCCTGGTGTAGACCTGGTGTAGTCCTGGTGTAGACCTGGTGTAGTCCTGGTGTAGACCTGGTGTAGTCCTGGTGTAGACCTGGTGTAGTCCTGGTGTAGTCCTGGTGTAGACCTGGTGTAGACCTGGTGCAGACCTGGTGTAGTCCTGATGTAGTCCTGGTGTAGTCCTGGTGTAGACCTGGTGTAGCCCTGGCTTAGACCTGGTGTAGTCCTGGTGTAGTCCTGGTGTAGTCCTGATGTAGACCTGGTGTAGACCTGGCTTAGTCCTGGTTTAGTCCTGGTGTAGACCTGGTGTAGTCCTGGTGTAGTCCTGGTTTAGTCCTGGTGTAGACCTGGTTTAGTCCTGGTGTAGACCTGGTTTAGTCCTGGTTTAGTCCTGGTTTAGTCCTGATGTAGACCTGGTTTAGTCCTGGTTTAGACCTGGTTTAGTCCTGGTTTAGTCCTGAGTTTAGTCCTGATGTAGACCTGGTGTAGTCCTGATGTAGACCTGGTTTAGTCCTGGTTTAGTCCTGATGTAGACCTGGTTTAGTTTAGTCCTGGTTTAGTCCTGGTTTAGTCCTCACCCGCCCGTAAAATTCCACAATGTTGAAAGCTCACATCCGCCCAAACCATTTAAAAAAAGTGCAAATTATAGTCTGAAAAACACGGTTCTTCTGGGCCTGGGGACATCAGAGTCGAGAATCTTCTGGACTCGCCAACAAATACACTTTATTATTTCGCGAGAGCCGTTGTGCTGCTTTGCTTCTCTTCTTCTTTTTCTCTTTGTAAAGCACATTTGAGAAGAGGGAAACCAGAGCTGCGTCCGACACGAGGATCCTCACATTTACACTGTTTTTATGGCCGTCACCAGGATTAAGAAACGGTGCTCGGTTTGGTTGAGCGTTTCCACATTCAGATTCGTCTCTCCGTAAAAACAGCGGTGGTGGTTCTGGTGTTTTTCACAGTAAACAAACCAAAACTAGGACACTTGCATCAAAGCCCGGGCAGTTTGAAAGTTTCACGCTCTGTCAAAACATATTTCTGTAACAAAGGGGAAGTATAATTGTTGTTATGATGGAGCGCGGCGCTGTTTAAAAAAAAGCTCTGATGCATAAACTACACCTGCTTTTCTATGAACAAAAAACATCAAGCGTGTTTGAGCAGCTCTTTATTATTAGTCTGTCCCCATCTCCAAAGCTCTAAATCACAGGTGTCAAACATACGGCCGGGGGCCAGATCCGGCCCTCCAAGACCTTTAATCTGGCCCTTGACTGATTTTCTACTAAAATATTTTAATTATATTTTCTATTAAAATATTGGTAATTTTCTGCGTCACTTAGCACAGCAGCGTCTCCAGCGTCTCTGTACGTGGCCCCTCCCACCAGAGCAGCACAAATGAAGACTTGTCTCTTTCCAAACGCTCTTAAAGGACGATCGTTTTGACTGTTGACCGTGACACCCTCATCAGAAAAATGTCCAACATGAGAAAAGTGGAGCCGAGTGCAGGATTTTACAACAAAAATGGACTTATTCCTGTTACATATAAGTGAATTCATGTTAAAACTTTGTGTTGAAATTGTATTTTGCTTAAAGTTTCAGGTTGTTCATAATATTATAATATTTTGTAAAAGAAAGAGTTCATCAATTAAAAAAGATTTCTGTAATAGATTTGTGTTTCTCTGCACAAATATTTGAACTTATTGTTATTTTTGGGGTTTATATGACATGAGTTTTCTGATCCGGCCCCTTTGAGATCAAAGTAGATTGGATTGGCCCCCGGACCAAAATGAGTTTGACTCTCCTGCTCTAAATGCTCTGTTCCACCTTGTGATGTCATGAACCAGCAGTTTTCACGTGAACAGCTCCTTTCACTTTTAGGTCAGAAGAGATCACCGACTCCAGGTGCTGAAATGATCCAAATGATTCAAGTCAAGTGTATGGAGTTAAAAAAAAAACATCAAGACATCAGCAGGTGGAACACAGTGTTTTCAGAGAGAAGAACTCAGCCCAAACGTGCAGGGTTTGTGTGTTAAACATGTGTGAATTAAACAAAAACAAAAAAAACACAACAAAAAAACACAACTCCAGCTCTGTTTGTGATGAGGAAACTACTTTAGAACATAGGCTGTGTTCAGACTGCACCTGAAGTGACCCAAATCTAATTTTTTGTCTCTATGTTCCTGTATTTGATCTTTTAATGACGTCTGAACCACACAGATCTGATTTTTTCAAATGTGACCCAGGACACTTGGGCTACGTTCAGACTGCAGGGCTTAATCGCTCAATTCCGATTTTTTGGTGAAAATCTGATGTTTTTTCGTAGTCGTTCACATTTCCAGTTAAATGTGACTTGTATGTGACTCCAGTGTGAAACATTAAACGGTCCAAAAGTGTCCCACATTGTGACACTGGAGACACGACGACGTCAACCGCAGCGAGCGTCTCTGTGTTTTACAGAAGTTGTCCAAACATGGACGCAGCATCGAGCACCTGGAGATTTTAAAGTTCCTCTCGTACCGGAGCCAGAACATGAAACAACTTACTTGTTTTAAGGAGGAGATTGAGAAGGAGAAGGACGAGGTTTTTGGTCGTGGTGTTTTGTGGTGAGTGGAGATGTGCTTCACTTCAGTCACATGGATCATGAACAGTTTTCTCCTACTTTAGTGCAAATAGTGAACGTTTGTGTCTTGTGAAAGTGAGGGGACGCAACTTCCATTTAAAACAGATTGTTCAGTTTCAGGGACAGACCAAGGTCCTGGGTCACGAAAAAAATCAGATCTGTTTTCAGGAAAAAGATAAGAAAGGCCTGTTTGTAGTTAGTCAACTGAACGCAACCTTCTCTGCACCCCTTTCCTGCTCCTGTCCCCGCTGCCCGATCCACTCTTCCCCCTGCTCCTCACTTCTCCGGGCACGGAATCTCCGCGCACCCGCTCTCTCCTCTCCTCTCTCCTCTCTCCCTCTCTCCTCTCTCCTCTCCTCTCCTCTCTCTCTCTCCCTCTCCTTCTTCTCCCTGCTCCTCACTTCTCGTCCGCGAACGAAATGTCCACCCGCTCCCCCCGCTCCTCACTTCTCCGTCTTGTCTAACCAACACTGTAGTTAGTTGTTTACAAGTCATGTGCAGCACCGGCTGTAAACAAACCTGTTTCTGTGGCGTAAGGAGGAGGAGGGAGGAGGCGTTTCTACGTAGGAGCTGTAGGGGAGGGGAGGTGGTTTCACGCAGGAGCAACATTTGAAAAAGGACAAACAGTCGCTGGATTTCTCCTTCCTTGGAAAATCCTCTATACAACCTTTAATCGTCCTAAAATAATGTAAAAAGAGCTTCTTAGGCGGGGTCATAAAAGTTTAATCGTTCCCCAATAAAACTGATATTAGATTCTGAATCGTGTTTGTTTCTCCGTTTAATTTTCTTTTCCCGTCCGCAGTGAACGTGCTCCCTCCCCGGCTGCTCGTGAACGGCTCCCTCCTGGTTCCTCTGGGCGGGACGGCGCCGCTGCCTCCGTCCCTGCTCGGGGTGTCGGACCGGGACAGCGCCCCCCGTCTGCTGCGCTTCGAGCTGCGGTCGTCCCCCTCCAACGGGCGTCTGTACCTGCGGACGGGAGCCGAGGAGAAGGAGCTGAGGCCCGGAGACGAGTTCAGCCCGGAGCAGCTCAGCGCGGGACGGGTTCTGTTCAGACACGAGCCCGACAAATCCAGGTGAGGACGAGAGAAGACGGATTTAAAAAGATCAGACTCTGGCGCTTCTGTTCGAGATCGTTTGTTTGATCAGATCGTGAATTTAAAATGGAAGAAACATCGATCGAGATGCCGGACGTTTGCGCCGCAGACGGACTGAACCAGGACCGAACCTGAGGCCTGTTAGTCCTGTTTTAGTCCTGGTTTATTCCTGGTTTAGTCCTGGTTTTAGTCCTCGTTTAGTCCTGGTTTAGTCCTGTTTTAGTCCTGTTTTAGTCCTGGTTTAGTCCTGGTTTAGTCCTGTTTTAGTCCTGTTTTAGATCTAGTTTAGTCCTGGTTTAGTTCTAGTTTAGTCCTGTTTCAGTCCTGGTTTAGTCCTGGTTTAGTGCTAGTTTAGTCCTGGTTTAGTTCTAGTTTAGTCCTGTTTCAGTCCTGGTTTAGTCCTGGTTTAGTTCTAGTTTAGTCCTGGTTTAGTTCTAGTTTAGTCCTGGTTTAGTCCTGGTTTAGTTCTAGTTTAGTCCTGTTTCAATCCTGGTTTAGTCCTGGTTTACATCTAGTTTAGTCCTGGTTTAGTTCTAGTTTAGTCCTGTTTTAGTCCTGTTTTAGTTCTAGTTTAGTCCTGGTTCAGTCCTGGTTCAGTCCTGGTTCAGTCCTGGTTTAGTCCTGGTTTACATCTGGTTTAGTCCTGTTTTAGTCCTGTTTTAGTTCTAGTTTAGTCCTGGTTCAGTCCTGGTTTAGTCCTGGTTTAGTCCTGGTTTAGTCCTGGTTTAGTCCTGTTTTAGTCCTGGTTTTGGTCCTGGTTTAGTCCTGTTTTAGTCCTGTTTTAGTCCTGTTTTAGTCCTGGTTTAGTCCTAGTTTTAGTCCTGTTTTAGTCCTGTTTTAGTCCTGGTTTAGTCCTGGTTTAGTCCTGTTTTAGTCCTGGTTTAGTCCTTGTTTTAGTCCTGTTT